GACTTATAATGACAATACAGGAGTACAGTCCGAAATCAAACCCTAGATTACGCTGGACCACGAAGTACGAATTATAACAAATTTCATAAATCCCACGCAGAATGAGCCAAAAATTCAAAATTTTTGCGTCTCCACTAGATAGCATAAAACTAGCGCGTTTAAGCCTCCCATCGTTCATAAGCCCATGATGGGGCGGTCGAGACTGCCGCATGCTGTAAACGAAAAAGCAAAACTTCATGATCTGGGCAAGTCATGACGACAGTTAGTGAATCCGGTAATACAGTACCCGCAACCACTTGTCGAAGAAACGCACCGCAGCGTTGGCCCGCTTGTGCGAGCTGTGGTATGGCCTAGAAATTCCATCTTTCTAATTGTTTTGGTTTGTCCAGCAAACAGACGGTCGTACGTAAACAAATACAGACATGGACCAACCGTATTGCATTATTTGCAAAGACGCATAAGGAAATTATTAGAAAACAAACCTGTTCGGGCAGAGATTCCGTTTTTTGCTCAGCAAGCGCAGGTGAGGAGATGGTGGCGACGTCCTGAGGTTGCTGCAACGCGCCCAGAGTTGGCGTTGTGGTATCCGGTGATTGCTTCATATGCAAATGTTGCATCATAGCATGAAGCCGCGTGCGCTCCTTACTTAGCCTGTGCTCCAGGTTGTCCACCACTTCAATCTGTGCACGGCACTGTTGCGCTGCTCGTTCATCAAATGGATGCACCGTAGCCAAGTGGTGCAGAAATGTCGCAAAATTCTCACATGGTTGATCACACTGCGGCCAAGCACACAGATTATGCTAAAATAAGTTGATATCTCCAAATTGGAGCTGAAAATACATTCATCAATTCCTGTTCACCGAAGCAATCCCAGTTGGGAATGTGACAGGTTCATGCAGAGATTCCATGCAGCCCTTGTTCCAGTACCAAGCAAGAACTGACTTGGTCCCGTTGCATGATTTTTTTTTTTGTAAGAGAGAGAACACTGACGGCGCGCACTAGGGCTGCTAGCGCGACCATACGTTTTTGCGATCAGCTAGAACGACTGCCTATTTGATGAATGATAATTCCACTTCAAAAAAAATTTTTTTTTATCACCACAGCAGAGTAAAGCTCTCCGATTTGAAATACAAAGATGTTTGGTTCCTGCAGCGTAGTCCGAAAGAGAGACACAGCTAAGAATTGTAGTATAAAAAGTCTGAAGTTTTTAAGTTGACTAGTTGTAGAGTTGAAAACCTGAGTAATTTCGAATTCCAAATATCTCTATGTACGTGAGAACTGCGTGCACATTAAAACTGGATTTAATTTTTCCGGATCATATATAAATAGAAAACTTCCCAAAATTTCAACTTTCTAGCTTTTCCTGTTACTGAGTTGAAAAAACCCCTACCAAAACTTTACGCGCCCGTACATTAATAAGCTTTATTTCGTAACTAAAGCTGAATGTCTAGACTCGTACATAGATATGAAACACTCGCCAAAGACTTCAGCTCCATAGCTGTTCTGGTCCTCGAGTAATTTTCTTATTAAAGCTCCCATGTGCCCGGGCGTGAGATAAAGACATAAGAGCTGAATTTGAAATCTTTGAGTCACCCAGGGATGGGAAATATCCTTCTGAAATTTCGGCTCCTTAACTTTCCTAGTTTCTGTGTCAAAAATTTTCCCACCAAAGTTTTCACACGTTCATAAATGAGATGTGGGCATACTTTAAAACTGAGCTACAAGCCTTTGAATCGCACAGAGACGGGAAATATTCGCCCGAATCTTCAGACCCATAACTTTTCTGGTTCCTAAACCAGAAATTTTTCCGCCAAAACCTCTAAGTGTCCCTACACGGGATTTGGGCACAATGAGGAGCTGAATTTGTAGTTTTTGAATTATTCATGAATAAAGAACACGCTTCTAAAACTTTGACTTTCCAGTTTTACTGGTTTTCGAGACAGTGATTTCCCGCCATATTTCCCATGTATCCACACGTGAGACCAAGACGTGCACGAAAGCTAATATCACATTTCTTGGGTCGCATTTAGTCAGGGAAAGAAACTGGGATCCAGTTTTCACTTACGTGTACACTGCATGCAAGAACACATAAAAGCCCAGGCGAGAAATTATTGGCACTTTTCTAAACTGAGAGCTAGACAAGACAAAAATCTGAAAATCAGGATGATGTTTTCTGTCTATGTTGTGGCCTTGGAATCCACACTTAGCTTCCTTGCACGCTTACACCTTTGCAACTTCAACTCTTACTTTTCGCCTAAGAAAAAATGAAAGTTAAAAATGTAGATGCGCCCCGCCACTCCAATTCGGGAATCACACAGGACAGAAACACCAAAGTGCAGAAACTTAGGCATACATGATTCTCCATGTCATTTCAACTTATGAGAATTTAATTTTCGCTTCTACATACATCTACTTTTCAGCTATGGGTGTCTGAAATTTCATGAGAAATTTCCTAGCTCGGCAACCAGACAACCCTTCAACGATTTCTGCATAAATCAAACTGCAAAGCAGTAAACATTCTTTAACAGCAAGTGCCGGCAAGACAGAACTGCACAAAACGCATGACCGCGCCCATTACACTCAGTGCGCGCCGTCGTCCAATTTACATTTAAATGAGCCACAAAATACATCGTGGGATCGCGTCGGTGCAACATAATTTTGCGAGAAACAGCCTACAGCCCAGTAGCGGGTACGGTAAAACATCTGAAAGGTTTCGTATTTGTTATAACTCTTTTGATACAACTGAAGCATGTAAAGCACCAAAAATTCAAGTGTGAAGACTATTCGCTTCATTTCTAAAGCTACATTTCTTAAGAGTATTTCAACTGAATGCTGTGGAAAACGACATAACTGGCCTTAAAAAATAATCCCAGGTCAATTACCTCAAATTAGGCGACAAACCAAAACCACAAAATCTTGAGTTTGTAGCTCGTGTTGTTTTCAAATCACAAAACTCATCAGAATGTGAGCCTGCAGTTACGAAGAGGGTGGGTGTTTGGAGACTGATTTCAAGTTATTTGGTGCTGACTGCTCGTTACTCCAAAACTTCTATTTTCTGGAGGTCTAGCTTTATTGGCCCTGGCATTAAGTTATCCGGAGTGGGCAGTCGCAATACATTTTTATGCAAAAGGCACAAAAAACCAGTGGAGTACATTCAAAGAGCGGTCTGACTACATTTTAAAAATCAACTATGATCATTTCGAAGAAAGCCACTTTTGATTT